CAGGAATGTACAACAACGAATGTTATTGATACTAATTGATCGATTAATTAGTTTGTGCATGAGCAAGAGTGATCATAATTAATGCAATCAGAAATCCACGAGCGTTATAATCTATCGAGTGTCTATTAGCTTTGCGTGCGAATCTATTCAGCATCGCTTCATAGAGATTAGAATAGTACGGTGTGATTATCAATACGAAGCGAAATAACGCGTGGACAATTAAAAATCATGCATTGTGATATACATCACGAGCGGTAATTGCCAAATTGACGTACGAGCGACGCCATTTCCTTTTTGCGCGGAAACACGACGTCATTGTTCTGATTCCAATCTCGATCGAAATCGAGCAACGATAAATCCGCTAAACTAGTCACCAGACATTCCATTTTCCAACTTCCAAGCTTTCTTTTTCAAAGCATAAGTTCGCGCCAATACCTTCTCGTTTTTAATCAGAACGTCTTCTTTTTCCTGCAATATCCAATAAAGATAATTTTGAGTGAAATATCGACAGCAAATCGTATTCTCGATGTAGTTTGGAAATAAATTAATTTCCTGCATTATCGTTGTATATTGAATTTTTCCTCAGAAAATATAAAAAAATTAACGGCATGGCAATATTACAAGAAACATATTCTCTATTAAACATGTCGCGTGATCCTATGCCAAACTCTTACCGCGTTTGCTATAAATCTATCGAGCGTAGCTAAATCGACTTATCGACACCGTCGTATTAATCAAGGCATTAAACCTTGGCCGCGTTATACGCTGCTTCTGCGAGACGTAAAATCGTATACCTCCTCTGATTGGTTTCCCAGCGCCGTTAGACTTCACTAAAGTGCTCGTAAATGATTAAACTACGAGACTCTATATTATTCCGGCGATTAACGAACCAGCCGCTGCCAATTAGGACCGATCGTTCGATGGTGCATTACGGAATCGCGTACTAGGTTTAACGCTTCCGTTAAAACGAACGAGGCTAGACGGAGATCTATTATTCCGGAGACACGAACGAGACGTGCCGAAATCCAGCGTGATGAAAAACGGTAATCCGCGCTGTGCCCCAACGTGAGCCG